GGCCAAGAATCTGAAAATCAACACCTACTAAACCGTTTTGCAATTTGGTGTCAATGGTCAGACATGATTATTCGAGTAGATAAATGTAGCACCTTTGGCATCAAAAAAGCTCTCACCAAATCAATTCAATACCTCCCTAAGTTAATCATTAACAAATCTATTATTCCAGCTGTTGAAAGTGGAAAATCATTCTGCTATTTAGGAAGGTACTTTGATTACGAAATGACAAACAATGAACATAAATCAGAATTAGTCTCCCTAATGACAGACCTAATGAAAGAAATAGATCTGAAGCCATTACATTCGAAAAACAAGATTCTCCTCTACAGTCGCTACGTTCTTTCAAAACTCTCATGGCATTTCACTATAACATCAATTCAAAAAACGTGGATTTCGGAAAACCTGGACTCAGTTTTCAAACAATACATTCGTAAGTGGCTTGAGGTACCTATTTCTGGATCACTTAGTAACATTTACCTAACTAGTAACAAATTTGGTCTGAACATTATCCCCCCATCAACTAAATTCATACAATGTCAAACAACTATCCGCAGTGCTTTGAAGTCATCTCCTAATGAATCAATAATCCACCTCTGGAAATCGACCTGTAATCATACTAATACCCAATATGATCAGTATACGTCGACAAAAGAAGTAATCAAGTCATTCCGTGAAGTTCATGAAGATAAATTGGAAAATCGGTTAAAATGTCAAGGTTCATTCTTCTCCAGCATCTCAAAATTTTCACTACCCCAAGTAAATTCGATTTGGCCAACCTGTCAATCCAAACTACCAAAAAACATTTTCAACTTCGCTACATAAACAATTCGCTACCAACCCGTAAAAACCTTCAAAAATGGGGACTCTCCTCGTCCTCTGAGTGCTCGTTTTGCCTTAAACCTGAATCTATGTTACACGTTGTTGCTGGCTGAAGTTCCTATCTTGATCGATTTACTTGGAGACACGACTCAATCCTAAATTTTGTTGCTAATAACCTCCCATCAGAACATATTCAGACCATTTATGCTGACTTACCGTTATCCCTAATCCCTCTATTATTACTGGTGATGACCATCGTCCTGATCTACTAATTTTGACCAAAGACAATTGTCTGTATGTACTCGAACTAACCGTTGGATATGAGACTAACCTGAGAAATAATATACAGCGCAAATATTCAAAATATAAAGAGATGATCGTAGAACAAAAGAAAAAATTCCGGCCGGTAAAGTTCATTAACCTCTCCATCAGTGCACTCGGTGTTTTTGGAAAAGAATCTTCACATTTCATACAAATGTTGGAATATTTGAACTCAGATAAGGCCGGTGTTAAATATATCATTAGGAAAATCATTAACATTGTAATAAGAACGACATATTACGTTTTCTGTTCTAGAAACAAGGATTGGTCGAATCCAGATTTAATGAACTTCTAGTTAGTCTCTTACTTTTTGTATCATATAATTATGTCCATGTGTTATGTAAATGTAGTAATATATAGCGTATCAAGTAGCCAATTGTAAATTACCTTTAACAGTGAGATTTTCAATTGTAAGTGCATAAAAAATTCAATAAAGTTTTCATTATTATTATTATTATTATTATTATTATTATTATTATTATTATTATTATTATTATTATTATTATTATTAATAAAACATAAGACTAAAGGAAGATAATTAATGAGGAATGTAATACTTGAGTAGCGACATATGATTGATATGAATATTCCTCATTAATTATTTTCCTTTTGACTTATGTTTTATTACGCATGCGTATTCGATCTACAATGATAAGTTATGGCTTTTCGAGTGCGCACACCTGGAGGAAATATTCATTCGTGACAAAATATATTCAACACGTTGGATATTTGGTACCGATGGCACGCGTGGCTGAAATCGCTCTAAACGCCACCGCACACTGGGGGAACTTGCCCACACTGGCCAACAGTCACGAGTGACGCTCAGCTCAGCGTGATAGCTCCAGTGTGCGCCGGGCTATATACCATATATAATATACTGTATAAAGTTTTGTGTGACACAAGCTGACGCCTACTGGGAATACTCGAAATTTAGCTGGCTTGTTAATTTATATTATTTTCTAAACTCAAGTAACGACATGCATAAATTCAAATTGAACCATTTCCCAAGAGGTTTTAACACTACCTATCAATTACAAATCACACGGCAACATGTACTTACTTACTTACTTAAAAATTTATTTAACCACGCTGGCCATACACAACATATTAGTAAAATACAATGAGTTGATTTTCAGATGGGGCGTGTTTTACTTACAAACTATCTTAACTCACATCCTAGTCTCGGGGTCTCTGGTATAGTGGACATACTGCGTTTAAATTCGGGTAAAGCGAGGATGCCTTTTTCGCCTCAGAAGTAAAACTATTCCACAGCATTGCACCACTATACTTAAAACTTCGTTTAAGGTAGTTTGTTTTAGGTTTTGGAAGTGCTAGATTCAGTATCATTACTAATTAGAAGATTATATTCTCTAATAAGATATTTAATTTTTATAATTTTTTTATATCTAAGCCATGGGGCGGACTGCACATTAAGAATTTGTACATCAAAACTCTCTTCAACCTATGACGTCTTACATCGAGCGTGGACCATTGCAGATCCTCCACTACATTTGCCGAGTTAACACATCAAATCTAGCTCCTGTTATAACTCGCGCCACTCTATTTTGGAGCACCTGTAATTTATCTTTATGGACCTTCCCGCATGTATCCCACAAAGTGGAGCAATAATCAAAATATGGCTGAATCAGTGCTTGCATAACATCTTTAAGGAACGCAAAGGAATAACTGAGGGTTTAATACTTCTTAAGGCACCAATTCCCGAACATATCTTTTTGAACAAATTCGATCTCAATGTGAATATCAAATATCAACCTATTGTCAAGGTCAACCCCTAGCCATTTTTGGGAAAGAACCGATTCAATAATACTATTATTCATAATAATACTATTAGTTACTTTATTAGACTTTTATTGCCTTTATATAGCACTCAACTATTATGTGCGGATCCTATGAATTAGCCTTGAAATCAGATTTTATATCTTTAAGGTGGCTCCATACAGTTCCGTAGTATAGATACCTTATTCCGTAAAAATTTCAATTTATAAATTTTATCACTCCATCTATTAATTTTAAGCATTCCCAAAGTATAAATTAAGTATTTGGTAGAAAAAATTTGCAATATTCTTGAACATAATATTGTTTCCATAGTAACAGTAGCCTCGCCAAATATGGTATTTTTGGCTATTTTAAGCAGGTTTTTATTCTTTATTTTCAGAATATTGCCGGTGACCCCCAATTTTTAACTGCTGTATAGCTTTCACTTATAATAAGGAATCTTATCCCTGAAAATAAAAAAATTCTGTAGATTAGAATAGCCAGAATAAAAAATTGCGGTTTTAAAGTTTTCCAATCTCCAGATTATTTTTAAATTTTGATATTCTATTTGTTTTAAAAGAAGTTATCGTTGTGCAAAATTTCATCACATGTCACGTGCAAAATTTTGAATTACGCCGTTTTATTGTGGTATCTCACTCGCTCGGCCGAAAGTTTTTCGAGCTCTGCAAGATCAATGAATTGACATGCGCGTACATGTTTTCGCAGGCGCATCTCCAGAAAAACACGCACAAATGCCACAAAAAAGTTTTTAATTTAACAGTCTCGTCGAAATATCAAATATATGTTGTGTTTTCTTGCTTAGAAATGCAAATATCTTTAGTTTTGCATGCTAACTCGGGATAACGCCAAGAAAACAGGTGATTGTGTCGTTTGGTATAACTATATGTGTGACATGTATGAACTTTTTGGCTTCTCTACATAGTTTTATATTCATTTACAGCGTAACTTGTGTGTTTTCATGTTGTTGTTGACAATTTAAAACAGTTTGAGCCGGCGTATGATGCTGTTTGACTGAATTCCTTTGCTGTTAGTGACACAGTTGAATACATTTACCAGTTGTAAGTACAAAAAACTCTGGATATGAACTTATAAATCGCCAAATATTGGAGTAAAAAACGTTTTACCTTAAAATGTCTTCTAAAAAGACTAGCTATTCAATGTTCAGGGCTAAATCAGGACGAAGTTTGTTCTTTGAGAACAAATGAGAACAAAAAAG